AGTGTACCAGTCCCAGTGCCCCTTCCCACGGCTTCACACCCCACACATGGGAAACAGCTTCAGGCATGACCTGTGCTCTGGATCCTCAGGAGGGTCAGGACCCCATGTCAGGGGCATGGTTGTGAGCAAGAGCAGCACCACACCTGCTGATGGGTGCTGAGGTGGGGGCTGCTGCAGCATTCTGCCTCCTCACACATGCTCCCCACAGGCACTGGTGTGGTGAAGAAGGTTGCAGCTTGTCCCACTACCTTGTTAGATCATTTTGATATTGTCTCTGTGCCCCAGTTTTGGAAACCCAAACCAATTTATGTGTGCAATGGAGGAAAAAATTCCACCGGGGTACTTCTGCCAAGTGATACAGCCCACAGCACACTCCCAGGCAAGGTGCCATTTGCAATGGGTTGTAGGCAAGCACATTTGCCAAAGCTGGGAAGACACGAAGTTGCCTTGCAACCAACTTCATGAAGGACATCTGGTAAATCCATAGAACACACCTTTACCTTCTCAGACTTCTCCTTACATGCATGAAATACAGACTTGTTTCCAAAGTGACAAATGAGACAGTGGAATTGGAAATGTCTCCACTAGCAATATGTGACAAGAGTAAGAGCAGTTCTGGACAGCATCAGAGCTTCAGGCTGCTTAGATTCCCTGGCATCATTTTATGTTCACTTTGTAATTTTAAGATTATTGATGTTTTATGGGCAAGATATTTTTTTCTTTAGTTAATGATTAGGATCTGGAAAACAAGATTGCTTCCTCTGGGAAAAAAAGCCACTCGTCTTCCCAAATTTGATTGTTAGACTTCACCCTTAGTAGAAGACTTCTCTCTTCTGAATGGCAGTGGAATAAGCAATGTTCTTGAAATCTTGACTTCTTATTCATAGAAACACAGCAATTTCAGCTCATAAGGACCTTGGCAGGCTCCCTAGTCCTTTCCCAGCTGCAAATGGGATTCGCTATAGAAAAACCAATCATGCAAGATGTTTGTGTAACCCATCCTTAAACCTATCCAGTGATTTTTCTCCAAGATAGGCATCCTATCCTAATGCCTGCTCTATAGAGGATAGTCATCCTGTCCTAACGCTTTCCTAACTGTTAAAGAGTTTCTCCTACAGCCTTGCTACAGACCAAGCCGCTCAGGGCTGCAATAACTCAGCCAGCAGCTGAGAGCTTTTAGCCATGGGTATGACAGTACCATAATCTCCTGTCATCATGTACTTTGTATCTTTGATTATTTAGAGATCAATATACTGACATGTAAAGAAAAGGACATGTTCAACAGAACACTTGACCTCAGAAGCTTCTTATATGGGAAGGCTTTCTTGTAGATAGAACATACCCATCAGACACTGCAAGCTCCATAGAGTTCAAGATTTTAGGACCTGAAGGGAACATTACAACCTTCTAGCCTGAACTTCAACATAAAATAGGCTATAAAACTTGACCAAATAATTTATGTGTCAGGCCAATAGCTTCTGGATGAGTTATACATCACCTCTTAAAAACTTTCAGCCTTGATTTGAAGACTTTGTGTGACAGACAGAATTTACAACATCTATGGGCAGGTAGCTCTGGTCAGTCTTTGTGTCTCAGCAGTTTTTATTAATACAGCAAGTGTCTCTTCTTGTCGTATTAGTGTTATCATGTCCTGTATCTACAGTACAACATATGGTGGAAGGATAATGTGAAACTGTCAAGGGACTGCAACTTCAGTTGATCACTAGTGCTCCCCAAAGTTTAAGAACACAGCTAAAATAGAAACATACTGAGAGATACTTTTATTCAAAGTACTTTTCCCTATATAGGATTTGAAAGGAGACAGGCAGGAGCTGCATGGCCACTTCCACTGTCAGAACAGGCAGAGGAGAGCAAGATAACTGACACTGTGCTGGAAGAACCTAAAAGCCATTGTAGAGGAGATGGAAGAGCACAGGGAGAACAAGTCTGTGACCTATCTGTGTGAATCATCATAGAATCATAGAATTGGTTTGAGTTGGAAGGGCCCTTAAAGATCATCTAGTTTTAACCCCCCTGCCATGAGCAGGGATATCACCCACTAGGTCAGGTTGCTCAGAGCCCCATCCAACCTGGGCATGAACACTTCCAGGATGAGGCATCCACCACTTCTCTGGGCAATCTCTTCCAGTACCCCACTACCCTCTGGATAAAGAATTTCCTCCTAACAGCTAATCTAAATCTATCCTCTTTCAGTTTAAAACCATTCGCCCTTGTCCTATCACTGTTTGCCCATGTAAAAAGTTGCTCTCCTTTTTTATAAGCCACTTTTATCCACTGAATCCACTGAAGTCTGTCTAGACAAAGACAGCTTTGAACCCTATGCTGACAGAAATGTGATAGAAATGGAGGAGAAGTGATATTTTTCTGCAGACTGAGGGGGTAATGACAAACATTGCTTCTGGGATTCAGGTTGTCCAAGGACACAGAAGAAGGCTAGAGTAAAGTCAAGACTGAATGAAGAAACAAATCAGCCCAATATGTGTGCCCTGGATGAGGGACAGATTTGCAAACAGAAATGGGAGAAGTGGAAAAGTTCGGCATCAAGGATAATGCAGAATAATTGTGGAAGAAGGCAAACAATGATCTGAATCAGAAACATATGAGAGGATCTGAGGTTTCTAAGGTTCCTCTCCCCAGGAGACCATCTGAGCCATTTAGATGAGGAAAGCTCAAATAAAGACAGAATTTCTTCTGGTTGAAAATATTGCCAGAGATTAGTCACACAGGTATTGAAATATAAGTAAGTACTGATATATAAGTTCAGTTTCCTAATCACAAAAGCTTGCAGAGAGGCAAGGAGGAATGAGAGATGGCCTATTGAAAAGCAGACAGCCATGGACTGAGTTTTGCAGCTCAGTCACCAGATACTCACAAAGATTTGGCAGAGGCAGACAGAACTGCCCTCACAGCTTTGAAGACACGATCAGGAGAATGGAGTGCCCTCCAGCACCCCCATGAAGAACAGAGATGAGGGGGTATGTAGTACCGTTGGATGACATTCCACTTCAAAACCCACAAGAAAACCCCAGGGGGCAGGTGATGGAGCGTTTGGAGCAAAGTAATGAAAACACCAAGAAACTCAGTATACATCAGCAAAGAACCTATGTCTATACCTCTATAGCCTGGCAGTAGTTGGAACATTAACTTTGTATGAACTACTTCCAATCACCAGTCAAGGAGGCACAAAATGATAGAGGTGACACGTACTGTGGAGTGGCTCTCAGGCTGATAAGCTCTGCTGGGCTTGTCAAGTTGAGCTCTGTGTCAGTACTGCATGAGCTAGCACATCCAAAGAACCCACCCCTCTGTACCTATCTGCTAATGCAGACAAGACACAACCAAGGTTTGATATGGTAGAATTGCTTGAGATGACCCTCACAAGGCTTGTAGCACAACCTCCCCACCTTCTAAGAGTGAAGCTGGCTGCTCAAGGTTGTTAGGAAAGACCTGGAGGGTCAGGTACAGTGTGACAGGACCCTGGCTGGAGGGATCCTGCTCCAGTGACTGTGTTATAAAATTTGGCTCCCAGCTCCCTGTCCCTTAGGGAGCAGCCAGCCACTACAGTGCCCTGGCAGTCTTCATTCACCTCTTAGGAACCATTTCCTTCACTGTGAAGTCATGAGTTGCTTTAAAATAGTGGCTGGGAATATCTGAAATACCAGGTCAGTACATGACCACCTTGCTGTTCTAATAGAAGACAGCCTCATCAATCCTACCATCACAGTGGAGGTGCCTCTGGTTTGCTCAGGGGAGGTGTAATATTCAGCACCTGCAGCAGTCCCAATCTTTTGGCAGGCCAAGACTTTAAACCAGGATTTCCAAAGTATGCAGTCTAAAACACCTGTGGCCATCCTGGGCAGATCCCACAATTTTCAGAGGCAGTTCCCAGCCCTTGTTGTGCCACAATGCACCGGCCACTGCAGAGCCTTCTCCAGAGACCAGAAGAACCTCCCCTTCACAGGAAAGCAGCAGTCATTTGGCCTGATGGACTACCCCAGAGGCCTGCAAAGCTAAGAGGAGGAACAGGGAGCTGCTTCCCCTCGAAGCTGAAGCAGAAGATGTGCTTTTCATGCTGATCTGGAGCTACAGTCCCAGCCCCAGTTCGGTGTTCCACTGATTAACTGGCACCCATGGACAGACTTTGGGAGCCACGCTGTGAACTATTGACCACTGTCGTGGTACATGCTGTGGTGGAACTGTGGCCTCAGGTTGAGTGAAATGAGATGCTTTAGCTTTCTCTTAGTTTAATGTCTTTGGCTGGGGTAATGCTGGCAAGGACAAGCTGTGTGGTATCTTGCCACAGCTGGTAAAAGGCAAGTTACTGAGGAACTGTGCAGTTCAGAAACCATGGCATGGGCATGGGTGTCTAGAGAGTCCAAGCAACTGTTTCAGCTCCTCTGACGGCATGAATGTTTCTCCAACATGTAATGCTTCCAGCTCTACATTTTCAAGGAACGCTGTTTAGTTTTAATTCTTGGGTTTCCTCCAAGGTCCCTAATTTCTCTGCTGACCACATATTTATCTCGGAATACGGGATAAGCAAGAAAGCCAGAGAGTCCATCGTTTCCCTGCTCAGAGGCTTTGCACATCTCTCCTCCAGGGCCGGTGCCCCACGCCGTGCGTGTTTATGAAAGCAGGGATACCTCCATCCCTCCCTCCCTTCCTAACCCCACCTCCCCAGCACGGCTGGAGGCGAAGCGGGGCCGGGGCCTACGGGGCCGGGCCGGGCCGGACCGGCCCTTTTCTGCGCAGGGGCGGCGGCGGCCCCAGCCCGCTGGCGGGCACCGGCCCCAGCCCGCCGAGCAGCGGCCCCGCCGCCGCCGGTGCCGGCTTTTTGGCATCCCTGATCGCGGCTGGCCCCTGTGATTGGCTGCGCGGCTCTGACCCCGCTCGGGCTCCCGGCTGGGCGGATAAAAGGGGCCTGAGCCGGGGGCTCCCAGGCATTCCCGGAGCGGGCACCAGGGACCGCCGGCCGCAGCATGACGGGCAAAGCGGGCGCGGCGCTGGCACCCAGCCTGCCCGGCAAGCCCAAGCCCGACGGCGCGGCCGCCGCCGCCGCCCCGCCACCGCCTCCGCCGCCCCCCGCGGCAGGGGTCAAGCCCAGCTCCGGGCCCACCCCTCCCCGTTGCACCGGTTTCGGTATCCAGGAGATCCTGGGCTTGAACAAGGAGCCGCCGTCGCACCCTCGGGCCGCCCTGGACTCTCTGCCCGCGGGGCACCTGCTGGCGGCCCGCTCTGTGCTCAGCCCCGCCGGGGTGGGCGGCGTGGGCATGGGGCTACTGGGGGCCGGCGGCATCCCTGGCTTTTACACTCAGCCCACCTTCCTGGAGGTGCTCTCCGACCCCCAGAGCGTCCACCTGCAGCCCCTGGCCCGGGCTCCCGGGCAGCTGGACAGCAGCCAGACGGCCAGCTCAGGTAGGCACGTCCCCGGCCCCCGGGGACTCGCCGCGCCCCACCAGCGCAGCCGCCCGCATCCCGCGCCCCGCCGGGAGGCCACTTGCCCGGCGGCGGGAGGGCAATTTCGTTTCGATTCCGAGGAAGAGGAGAAGGGCGGACGGGACCGTATTTTCCCCCTTTCGGGGCTGCGGCCGCTACGTGACGGCGTGGCCGGGGGCGCCCGGTCCGGGAATGCGCGGAGCCCCGTCGGAGCGGTCCCCCGCCACCCCAAGTCGTTGCCGGAGAATTAGGGGCCTTTCGGCATCCTTTTCCTAGACGGCAGCAGCCTCCCACAACTCTTCCTTCAGGCCCGTTCCCGAGGCCTCCTCGGGTACCCCTGGAGCGGCAGGCAGCAGCGCCCGACCCTGGCCCCGAGGGCAACCCCTGGCTTCCTCCCGGCAGCGGTCGGAGCCGTCCGACGCGGTTTCCGTCCAGGCCGTGCCCGCAGCACGGCCGGCCGTGCCCGCAGCACGGCCCGCCGAGCAGCACGGCGCCGGGGCCGGGCAGGTTAGAGCGGTGCCGCGGGCAGGAGCGGGACCGGAGGGCGGCCGGAGCGCGCATCGAAATGTGGGTCCCAGTTCCGTCCCTCGGCTGCTCCTTCGGGGCAAAGGCGGCAGTGTCCTGTCCTTACCATCCCCGGGCCGTTGCATCCCTTGGAAGTCGGGGGCTGCGGATAGGCACCAGCTCCTCCCGGGGTTTGTTTTTGCTGGTAGCTCCGTAAACCTCAATTTCTCCGTCCCCGCTCCGGTGTTTCTGCGGCGCAGTCCGGGATCCCCGGACTGGGGCAGGCGGCCGCGGATGCCCGGCCAGGGGCAGGGGGTTGCAGCTTCCCTCTTTTCCTACATTTTGGTTGAGCTCTCCGGGCTCTGCATTTTAGCAGCGAGACAACAGCAGCCTCAGCAAACGACACTGGGGGAGAGAAGCGAGAGCTGCAGCCTCTGGTCCCCGCCCGGAGCCTTCCCTGTCCGGGGTGGATCGCCCAGAGCTGCCCTCACCGGGACCGGGAGCGGCGCTGGGGCCGCGCCGCGCTGGAGGGAGCGGCCGGCGTCGTGCCCCGTCCGCGGCGCGACCGCAACGAAATCTTCGGCCAGAGCTGGCGGAGGGCGGGGAGCTGCCGGGCCCGGCTCTACCTGGGGGTCCCTGGCGGGGAGGGAGCCCCAGCCCACAGCCGCTGCCTGTCTCTCCGCAGATTCCGAGGATGTCTCCTCCAGCGACCGAAAAATGTCCAAATCTTCCCTAAACCAGAGCAAGAAACGAAAGAAGAGGCGGCACAGGTAAGCCAGGGGAGGCCACCCCGCCGGCTCTCGCCGCCTCAGTCCCCGGGGAACCGGGCACCACCGAGCCCCGCCGCGCCGGCGGGGCCGACCCGCTCCGGCCTGGAGCAAAATACTCTTCCCGGCACCCGCCACCGGAGCGCCCCTGCGGCTTCTCCACCGGGTCCTTCCCTTTTTCTTTCTCCCCGTCCAAAATAAATCGGATTTGGGGACGTGCCTACAGGGAGCGGGGGGATCAACCACAGGTGTCGTTTTATTAAATTTTTTCTGGCTGCGGATCCAGGTATTCCCAGTCGCAATGCCGAACAGCACATGAGCATCTAGGCGGAATAGGGATCACCGGTGTTCGGGAAGGGAAGATCATCTACCTGTCAGAAATAATAAAACCCGTTATCGGCTCCACATACACCAATCTTAATATTGGCTGTCAGCAAGACAGAATTCCTATCAATAATTTAAATATTTTATTACTTAGAAATAAATGTTTTGCCAATAGATTAAATAATTGGGAATCAGAGACAACCTTCAGAGAAGCTGAAGAAGGCTGGAAAATTGCTTAAGGAAACGAAGATCTTCTTTGGGATTTTGTTCCCCTCAGCATGGTCAGGGTAATAGACTTTGCCTGACTTCTCCCACAGTTAAAAAGGAGTTGGATTGTCTGCGCCTTATAAACAGAAACAAAAAATCCTGTGCTGGGTTCTGGCGTTGCTGTGGCCGGAGCGCCAGGACAAAGGAAGGCCAGGCACCATCCACTGAGGGTGATTTAGGAATAATTAAATCAATCCTACCACGATGCAGGAAAGGTGGATTAAAAGACGCCCCAGTGAAAGCTTACCAGGATACCGGGGTGGAAGGAGACCGTCCCAGGAGGCGTCTTGCTATGTATGCAACAGGAGGCTCGGTCTGTAGGGCTCATCCCGAATTCGGAGCCCCTCCACAGGGAAATATTACCAGTTTGGGTGCTCTGGAGTAAATACGAGTTCATCTTCTTTGTGGCCCGGACAGGGCTGAGCGAAAACACAGCCGAGTCTGGTGTACAGGTCCCCGTCTGGATGGGGATTTGTTTTATTTTCGGTTCTATACAGAAACAGACCTGCAACATTTGTCTGTAGTTGTATATTCTGTACTAAACGGTTAAGACCCCCAGTTGGACCAAGGAAGGGCTGAGAGATGACCAATAGCCTGCATATAGCTCCAGGATAGAAACACAAAAAGGGGCAGTGGATTGCGTATTGCAAAAGGGACAGGGGCTACCCGAGGATGAGCTAAAAAGGGAAAACTTGAACTGAACGTCAGGCAAAACCCTCCTGCTGCTGAGCCTGGACGGGCTTCTGCGCTATTGTCGGAGGAAGGTGGAGGGGAATGCTTGAAACGTAAACTGGATCAAAACTGGAATAATTTTTTCTGTGGTCCCAGAGAGAGAAAATACACGAATTGATGTGGCTCTGCTGTCCCTAGAATTCACAGATTTGTCAGAATTGAAGAAAAACCGTTTGAAAAGATAATGATTTAAGAATGAATTTAAAGAAGGGTCTGGTTGCAGGCAGGTCCCTTGCATTTGCATGCTGCTTTTGTTAGTAATATTATCGATCTGATGGAATCCTTTTCATTCTGTATAGTGGAGGATATTTCTGAGAATTTCTGTTTATGCTCTCTGGAATTGTAAGGCCCTTCTGAAATCTGGATATATTTTAGAAAAAGACTATTTTCTCTTTCCTTCCAGGAGCTATATATTTCTTAGATTGATGATATTTATACATTGATTTTGCAAAAAGGCTGCAGTTCTTGAGTTGATAATTGTTTTATTTTGGTTTGGGGTTTTTGGTTGAATTTTTGTTTTGTTTTGTTTTCTTGGTTGCTATTTGGGTTTGGGGTTTTTTTGGTGTTTTTTGTTTGGTTCGTGTTTTTGTTTGTTCGTTGGTTTTTTGGTTTTTTTTTTGCCATCAGAGTATTGTTAGTTTATATGAAAAATTGCATTTTCTGTACTGAAGGAGTTGAAGGGTGGGAGTTTTAATCCTCGGGGAGTGGAAGTGGTCTGAGACTTCTCATGCATCTGCTGGAGAAGGGCTTTCATCTGTATCAGCTTTCCAGCTGCTGATTTTTCAATTTGGTTGTCCCAAACTGAGAACTTGCTGTGCAATGGCAGGTTGGGCTGCTGCCCGCCCAGAGTGGTCCAGGAGGATTTCCAGAGGATAATAGGGTAATGCAAGCTGTCAGGGAGCAGCTAATGCGATATCAGGGTGGGAGCAACCAGGGGAAAGATAGAGGAAGGGAGCTGGCCCTGGCTCTTGTGGGGAAGGAGTGGTGAAAAGCGGTGGGGAGTAGAGTGGATAAAACATTCAGAGAATTCATCCATGGACTGGGACTCGAGGTGAAGGATTATTTGCTCATGGTGATTGAACAGGCTAAGAATCAGCAGCTGGGAAAGGGCTCAGCACCTCTCTAGGCAGGGTGCTGCAGGGATGCTGCTTCATCTCAATGTGACTATCAAAGGGTTAAGAAATGTCTGGATGAAAGAGGAGGAGAGGTGTGGTTTTAAGCCTGGCCAGGGGTGGGTTCAAAGTTGTAAGGGACATAAAAGATAAGGACACCAGCCAGGATCCTTGAAAGAGGCAGTGGAGTCTGAGATGTAAGAGCAGCTGGCATCACTGTGGGTGCTCGCTGCTGGGGAGGGACAGTCTCTAGAGGCAGGTCCTTGAAAAGGGAAGGTGATTTGTAACTGTTAAAAGTGCTGTCTTCTGGCATTTTCAGATTCTCCTTTCACCCTGGCACCTGACCTTTGGGCACAGAAACATAGGAGGTGGGGAAAAGTTATGCATTAGCAGGTTACCCAGGTTTCACTGTCCATTTCTCTGACTCTTCATCATCTTTGCTGCTTCTTCTTATGTTTTTTGATCAAAGAGTTTTACTCCCCTCAGGACAATCTTCACATCCTACCAACTGGAGGAACTGGAAAAGGCCTTCAATGAGGCCCACTATCCTGACGTATATGCTAGAGAGATGTTGGCCATGAAAACAGAGTTACCAGAAGACAGGATACAGGTAATCATATCTCTTGGATCCCCTTATCATGCTCCTCTCAGCCATTTTCATCCCTCCCTGAAGAAAAGATAGCATGGGAAGGCTGACATTTCTCTGAATAAACTTCCCCAGGCTGCCAATTCTCCTGCTTTCCATGGGTAGGCAGAGAGATCAGCTGTTCTTGGCAGATTTGTATTTGGTGTTTGTATGTCAACATGTGCTATGCATGGTGTGTTGTACCAGTGATTTAGGGTGTGTGTAACAGAGGGAATCTTAATTCAGAGAAGGAGAACAGACATGCAAGAAAAGACCACAGAGTTTTGAGGACTTGCTATGGGAAAGAAGGTATAGGAAGGAAGAGAACCTCCTGGAGACTGTGTCTGGGTGGGCACTGTGAGAGGGAAAGAGCTCATCTCTGCTCCTTTGGGCACAGAAGGATGCACAGGGATGGCATAGACAGCTAGTAGTGCTGTGGGTGGACTCAGTGTGGGAATGATGGGGGAGTCCCAGAGAGGTGTTTGCACCATCATTGTCACTTGAGAAGGCAAATGCCTCCTCAAGTGAAATTTCCCTAAAGGTTTCTGGGGATATTTATATTTTTTAAAAATTTGTTAAATTTTGTTAAGCTTACAGTTTTTAACATTTGGGTTTTAGTTGCATGTCAGTCCTGTTGTGCCACCATGAGGAGGTAGAACAAGGTGGCATGGAGTATCACCATGTGTGGTGAATCCTCCAGTGATAAGGAGCAGTCTGAGCTGCAGAGCTGTGCCAGCACCATCCTTTGTCCTGTGTGGCAGCAATCAATGCAAGCAATCATTACAGCCAAAATGCTGGAGAAGACTTACAGCTGCTGTGTACAGTGTGGGAGGCACAATGTGCTTGGACGGACTACACATGGTATTCACAAGGGTGGGCTCCAGCAGCTTTTGTTGCCTCCCTTCACTCATGACTTGCTCCTGCCAGGTTGCTACATAAGGCATAGGATTGTAATGGCTGAGCCTTGAGCAGCAGGTACAGGTAATATTTCTGGGCTGGCTGAGAGTTAAACTGGCCTGGTCCTCCACACAGTGGCAGTGACTGCCTCTGTGACTGGTGTATAGCAGTTTCTACAAGAGACATTGTCTTAAGTGCTACATTGTGTTGGGAGGGTCCTAGTTTCCCAGGTTCCTCCTTCTGTTCAGTCCCTCATGCGTGCCCAGCACCTGCTGAGCTGCTTCTTGAGCCTGTACGCTTTCTTTGCTAAAGAGATGGCCCAGGAGGCTGCTCCCTTGTGGGTTTGGAATGTAGCTCAGAGGGCACTTAGCAAGATAACACTGATGCTGGAAGCTGCTGTGGTCTAACCCTATGCAGAGACAGGAAGATCCTCGCAAACAAAAGTGCAACCTTTTTTCCCCTCAGTCCTGAGACCCCCTCACCAGCCTTATTTTTATGCTTAAACAAGAGTGACATCTTTATAAAAGCAAGTCGTGCTTCGTATTCCATTGATCTGGCAGGACTCCTGCTGACCTAACAGCTTGTAGATAACCTTCGTGCTGACAGGATTTACACCAGTCTTCAGAGATAATGGCTCATCATCTGAAATCCTACCTGATGCATTAGGATTTTGCTCTGAGCAACAAGCCCTGATGCTTTGCCTCTAAAGAGTGAGATGGATGAAGGGTCATTTCTCTTCTTGTGACCCTGTAGGACATCAAGTTAAGAGAGGAGAGACTTATCAGGAGTGTAGTGTTGCCTGCACCCACCATCTGATGCTGTCCTAGAAAGAGGATCCTTCGATTTCCCGTAAAGGACCTTTTCAGCCAAGAGGTTTATCTGGTGGCACAGTATATGTTGAACTCCAGAGGCACCATTTCTCTGACCAGAACTGAGGACTTTCACTATGTGTGAGGTGGAGGGAGATACTATGGCAGAGAGTGCAGAGTTGGACACTGCATGTACTGCTTCAGCATCTGGAGCATCCTTCCAGTGCTGAGACTCAGCGTTTTACCTGATACAGAAGCGAAATAGAAGCTAATGTATCTTAACTGTCACTGACTTGCTGCCATGTCATTCTGCAGCTGGCTAATAAACAACTGCCTACTCTCCCTGTGTTGCAGAATTTTTAAAACTAAGAGGGCTCCTTACTCGGATCCCTCTGCCCTAAAGATCAGGTTAGACTTGGACAGCAGAAGCACCTCATGGTCTGACCATCAGGTGTAACTAGTGGCATGTATATTCCAAAAGAAAGTGCTTGTGAGTAACAGTTTTCCTCATCGTGAAAGGGGAAATAATGAGAAACAGCAGAATTTATGTGGCATCTGTTGTGTGAGAGCATGAGCACCCTGCCAGGGTGAGCATCAGAGTCATGTAGAAGTCCTGAGCACCACTGTTCTTTCCAGTAGGTCAGCAACCGATTATCCCTTACCACATATTCTATGAAATTTCCTTGTCCATAGTTTTTTGTGTATGACAAGCCATGCCAAGATAATTCCCACCTTTGATCACTCTTCTTGATATTTCACCTCATATTCCTTTTCAACTTTAGCCCTTTGTGTTATGAGCCTATTTCTTTACCCCTTGTTATAATGTTCACACTCTTTAAATAAATCTAAGCTATTTCTTCTCCTGGCTGTCACTTTTGGTTTTCATCATTGCTTACACAAGTTGCAAAGACCTTTCCTTAAATCATCCTTCATAAATCACACACTCATCTCTTAATCATTTGGTTGTTCTTACGTGGAGCCCATCCTTCCTGTCAGTCTTCCTGGAGATAAGAGACCACATGCCTACAACTGCATGCTGGGTGTGTTCACACTGGTTCAGCTGGATTTCTCAGCCCTTGTAGAAACAGCCTTATATTAGCGCTGGTCTGCTTGCTTCCTTATTTATTTATTTCTATTTGTCTAATTCAGTCACTTTAAACTTTTTTTGGACAGGTTTTTGTTTTTTTGTTTTGGTTGTTTTTTTTTAATGCTCAGAATTTTCCCTTCCGTGTTCTGGATTTCATATGGCATTTTATTAACTTTGTCTGACAGCCATAATCACAGCCCTACCAGCTCTGACACTGGCAAGAGGTGGGTGCTAGAGTATGAGAACAGGGCAGCTATCCAGTGATACTTACTGAGTACTTTATCAGCCTCCTGGGATTTTGAACACATGTAAATATTTTAGTATCCTGCAGCAAGAGGTTCTGCAGCAGAACTGCCTGAGTGAAGTAAACCTTGCTTTGAATCTCTTAACATCATTTATTGCCCCTTGGAAGAGACAGCTGACAATGAATCTTATTCCCATTTTCATAATATTTATAATTCCACATAGTTGAATTCTTTTCTTTGCATGAGTTTTCAGCTGCTCAAGGGAGCTCTATATTTTTTAATTTTCTTTGTGGCTTACAGTTCCTCTCATCTTTCAACATTTCTCTCTCCCTCTTCTATATCATTAATGAAAGTGTTTTCTAAGATTGTTGTGAGCATCATATGTTGTGGACTTCCACAGCATTCCATGTGGGTTCTCACTGGATCCACACCTAAGAGTGATATCTACCCCTTAATTTCATTCATGGAATTATTTCTCAGGAAGTAATAGTCAAAGAGAAAGTAAATCACCTATGAAATTTGATGTGAAAGTGAAATTCAAAGAGTGCAATTGAAAGAATGATATATAGGAACAGTTTGCAGGTAAAACCTTCAGCAGAATGCTACAAATAGCCATCAGAGGCCAAGAAAGTTATTGGTTTGAAAGAACATTGAATCCAGGAAAAAATATTCAAATCCTCCATTTAAAGAGAAGATGAACATGTGATTTTTTTTCCAAGGCAGCACTCTTTAACACTGTGTGTGTCTTCCCCCCCCCCTCCATTGAACTGGCTGCTCCTGGAAGAAAAACAAGCATCTTCCCATTGGGAAAGTAATTATTTTTCATAGTGAAACACTATGCACAAGTCAGACCAGATGTCACTGTGGCCATTTTGCAAGATACTAAAAAGTCCACATTAATCAATATATTTGAAAATACTCAAAAGAATTGAAGTGCCCCTATTAGAATAAACACAGACCATTCTGTAAAATCCAGGTGAGGTAAGTAGATTCCTGTGGGGAAGTATATCTTAATAAACAGAATGAAGTATTAAAAATGGCCTCAAGTACTGTGACATCTGACTTAAACTGCTGTTTCTCATAACAATACTCTTAAGTGTAATGAGTAGATTTTAGACAAGTTATCCCTATTGAATTTATTAATATGTAGCAGTTCTGAACTTTAAACACAGTAGTTTCAATATTAAAGTTCAGTAACAATTTGATTTGGGATTATTGAAATGTGTGTGTATGTTTTTCCTTATAATATGTCTCCTACCAATCAAACAAATTGATTAATCAGTATTTCGAAAAAATAAGATCCTGGCTGCCATTGGGGGGACACTAGAGTCACCTTCTTAGGGAACTAATCAATTGAGAAAGATAATAAAAGTGCTAAAAATTGTCAGTTCATATTGTCAAAATATTATATGGTTATTATGTGGATGATGAATTTTGGGACACATAAAATTGCTCATGTAAGCAAAAGGAATCCCAAGAAGATTCCTGGTACTGTGCATGAGAAGTGGGGATTGTCTGTGTATCCAGCAAGTTTTGTCAGGCAGCTAAAAGGTCAGTTTTGGTTAAAACCAAAACAAGGTCAACTAAATCTCTAATTGAAAATGTATTGGTTTAGCTGCTTTCAGATTAATGCATTTCAGTATCACTGTGCAGGGAGTTGAACAGGGATGGAGGAATCAGGAAGAGTAGTCATTTGGAGGGAAGCATTTGTACCAAGAGAGTATTTTTCCAGAATAAGAGCCTTACCTTGCTTTATTTTTGCAAAAAGGTTTTCTATTTAGAGATGAACATAATTTGGAAAGGCCTGAGGAACCTGAACTGCACTGAGCGTGAGCTCAGGAGTGAACTCAAGGAGTTCCCCCAAGAAACATAATAGAAAGTGTGAAGGAAAAATTAACTTTATGCAGCTTTAGCAGCCCTGGCTTCTCCCTCTCCTGCCAGCTTTTC